TGGTCTTTTCTTTCAGGTATATGCTCTGGTAGTGCCTCAAAACAGGTTCTTGAGCCTCGTTCACAGCAACATCAGGCTTGCATTCGTCCTGCTCATGCTAATGATAGGTTTCATGGTGATAGTGATGTGCGGCTTATTGTACGTGACCTTTGAGGCCGCCAAACGTGAAATGTACCTTTGTGGAGCCCTCATAAACCAAATGGAGGCAACCCAGCAGTCAGAGAGGAAGAGCATGAACAAAAGTCTAGCATTTGCAAGGGCAAGCCATGACATTCGGGCCTCTCTAGCTGGCATAACCGGCTTGATCGAAATATGCCGAGATGAAATCACCAAAAAGGACACTCCCCTGTCGGGAATATTCACGAATTTGCGCCAAATGGAAGCCTGCACAAGGGATCTCTTAGGTTTGGCTCTTTTTTCTTTTATTTCCTTATTTTGAGTTTTGGTAAAATATATACCACCAATCTGAGTGTTTTTTGTTTTTAATATAACTTTAGGTATATTGAATTCGATTCTTGATACGAGCAAGATCGAGTCTGGAAAAATGCAGCTGGAGGAGGAGGAGTTCGACGTGGAACAGCTTCTAGAAGACGTGGTGGATTTGTTTCACCCATTGGGCACGAAGAAGGGTGTAGACGTAATTTTGGACCCGCACGATGGGTCGGTAATGAAAGCTCCTTGCGTGAAGGGCGACCGTGGCAAGCTCAAGCAGATTTTGAGCAACTTGCTGAGCAATGCACTGAAGTTCACATCAGAAGGACACGTCGTTGTTCGGGCCTGGGCACAGAAGCCGGGGCTCGGGAATGCATCCGGCCAAAATAATACCATGAGCTGCAGCCTTGTACTCTGTTGGCTGTTCGAGATCGAAAAGTCGTACGAGTCGGATACGAGCGCTTCTATTCAGCGCGACTCGAAACGCGTGGAGTTTTTCTTTGAGGTGATTGATACTGGAAAAGGAATTCCGAAAGAGAAGCAGAAATCTATTTTCGAGAACTACATTCAAATCAAGGAGACTGCTTTGGAGCAACAAGGCACTGGTCTAGGCCTGGGCATTGTGCAATCCCTGGTATATTACAATATTTTAACTTGTTTTTTTTTTTTTTTTTTTTTTNNNTTTTTTTTTTCATCTCTCAAGTATTGCAACTTTATCTTGTCTCCTGGGAGATTTTAGGTTCGTTTAATGGGTGGAGAGATAGGAATTGTGGACAAAGAAATCGGCGAAAAAGGGACTTGCTTCAGGTTCAATGTGTTCTTCAGCACGTGTGAAGCGAGTAATGCAAAATCACTGGATATTGAGGCAAGTGACTGCAGCTACTTCTCAAGTGAAACCTTCCAGCACTACTCAGGCCACACGACCCGTTTTCTGAGTCCCAAAACCGAGGGCTCCCAGGTTCTGCTCTTCATAAAAAGCACTGAAAGATGCAAAGTCATTAAAAGATTCATGCAGAGGCTCGGGATCAAAGCTCACGTCATCAGCCACCAGGAGCACCTCTCCCCGGCCCTCAAGAGAATAAAACGGAAACTAAGCCTTTCGAGTCACAGCTCGTCTGGCAACTCAAGGGCCGATTGGCCTGGTTCGCATACTTCCAGCACAAGGTCCAAGGAAGTCCCCCTGAGCACTCTGGAGGGCGTGGATGGCCCGAACGACATAAATCTCACTCATGAGAGACCTGGCCTGCGGGCACGATTTTCGAGCTTTGTTTTGGTCGTGATCGATTCACGTGCAGGCCCGTTTCGGGAGATCAGCCGGGCTGTGGCCGAGTTCAGGAGGGACCTAAGTGGTAGCAGCTGTTGCAGTAGGGTCATATGGCTCGATAGGCCCGGTTCGGAGAGTGGCTCGAGTCTCCAGGGGCTTGACGAGGACAAGCTGCCACCTTCAGATTTAGTCATATCAAAACCGCTTCATGGGTCCCGTCTGTACCGAGTTATTGGCCTTCTGCCTGAATTCGGAGGGGAGGATTTTCCTCTCAGTATCGGGAGAGTCGAGGGCAGCGCTTTCTGTGAAGCAAGTGAGAAAAGTTTTATGTGCAGGGAAAGTAAAATCGAGGAAGTTGGAGGGCCTGATGGCAAAAGGCCTTTGACGGGGAAGAAAATATTGATTGTGGATGATGATTCTATAGGACGGAAGGTAGCTACATTTGTGGTTTCACAGCTTGGTGCACATGTTGTTACGACTTGTGAAAATGGAGAAGAAGCTTGGAGATTAGTTCGGGAAAAGCTCGAGGATGGAGCAAAGGATGGTGGAGGGGATTCTTATGATTCGGTTCCTTTTGACTGCATAATTATGGATTGTGAGGTGAATAAAGCTTGCAGATTATTTATCATTTGTTTCTGTTTTGGCTTCAATGGATGTATTGTGGTTCTTTGTTTTGACTTAACACTTTTTTTTGGGTGATAGATGCCAATGATGAATGGGGTTGAGGCAACTAGAAGAATCAGGGATGTGGAGGGAGTATACAGTGTTCGTATGCCGATTATGGCGTTAACTGCACACGATAAGGGAGAGGAGATAGAGAAGATGGTTCAAGCTGGGGCAGATGGTTATTTAACAAAACCACTGAACAGAGACAATTTTTTGAAAGCAATGTTTGAGATCAAGGGCAAAAGATAAAACATGTAGTTTCAAAATGTCCCTGGTTTTTTGTTTTTGGTGACAATCTCATTGTACATGGTACATTAAGGATTCTTATGTCTTAGTTATATTAGGCAGGCACTGGAAGCATGCTTCTTCTTTTTTTTTTT